GGTGGGATGACTCCCATGACTGGAATACAGCAATTGAGGGATATAGTTACTGCCTTGTTTTCTAGGTGCTTACACAATGACTTCTTTATGATCTGTTCCAGAATTTCGCCTAGGATTGAGGTCAAGCTGACTGGACTGTAGTTCCCAGGTTCCTCTTTTTTGCCCTCTGGCACCTCCCCCGTTTCCCATGATTTCAAGAAAATAATGGATAGCAGTAACTAGAAGCCAACACGGATTTGTCAAGGACAAATCCTGCCAAACAAATTTGATCTCATTTTTTGATCAGGTCGCCTCCCTGATAGAGAGAGGGAATGCTGTAGACATAGTATATCTTGACTTCAGCAAAGCTTTTGAGAAAGTGCCCTGTGATATACTGATTAGCAAGCTAGCTAGGTGTGGGCTGGATAGATCAAATGTCAGGTGGATACACAATTGGCTACAGAATTGTACTCAGAGGGTGATGATTAATGGGTCCTTCTCTAACTGAGAGGAGGTAAGAAGTGAGGTACCCCAAGGCTCAGTCCTGGGCCCAGTGCTCTTCAATATTTTTATTAATGATTTGGATGAGGGGGTGCAGGGAATGTTTGTCAAATATGCAGATGATACAAAACTGAGCGGAATAGCTAATGCCCTAGAAAACAGAAACAAAATTCAAAATGACCTTGATAGGATGAAGCACTGGGCTGAAAGCAACAGAATGAAATTCAATAGGGATAAATGCAAAGTACTGCACCTTGGGGGAAAAGCCCAATTGCACAGTTATAAGACGGGGGATACCTGGCTCAGCAAAGCTATGAACGAGAAGGATCTTGGAATTGTAGTAGATCACAAGCCAAATATGAGCCAACAGTGTGATGTGGCTACAAAAAAGGCAAATGCTCTTTTAGGCTGCATTAATAGAAGTATAGTTTCCAGATCCTGAGAGGTGCTAGTCCCCCTCTGTTCAGCACTGGTTTGTTTGTTTGTTTGTTTATTCAATTTTTACCCCGCCCCTCTAGACAACGTCTACCCGGGGCAGCTTACAAAAATTAAAACACATTAAAACAATGTAGAAAAATAACTAACATAATGCAATTATTATAATTAATATTATCCAAGATGGCAACATTAAGAACCAGAAAAAAAGGGGAAAAGAACTTAGGTGACTGGGGGGAAGGCCTGTCTGAATAACCATGTTTTTAGTTGGTTTTTGAACACACCCAGCGAGAGTGCCAGCCGAATTTCAGTGGGAAGTGTGTTCCACAGCCGAGGGGCAACTGCCGAGAAGGCCCAGTTTCTTGTTTTCTCCTTCTGGGCCTCCCTCGGCGTCGGTCCCCTCAGCCGTCCCTGCTGGCTATCGGGTGACTTGGGTAGC